GGCTAAAGACTAAGCATCTAACATGGAGTAAATGTCCATGATGTCTGCCCTCCCCATCTTGTATCCCACACTCCAGTCACATGAGCTATTTTTAGTTTCTAAAACATGCCCTCTCTTCCATACCTCCAAGTGTTTGCCCATATTTTTAACTGTGCTCGAGAACCACTTTCTGTCTCTTGTCTGCATAAAAAATTGCTGAGTGGATTTTAACATTAAATAACTGGTCTTTTGTGGAACCTTCCTTGAGTTTCCCTAGTGTAGTAAGTACTCCTTATTCAACACTCCATGGCATCTTGGCATATACAAGTCCAGGGTAGAATTTATTGCATAGTTCTGAAACTAGTCGCTTACAACTTGTCTTTTTGTTAAAAATGCACTCTTAAAGGGTGACCCTGTGTCTTTTATGCTTTTATATTTCCTGATAGTAACACATCTTTTTTTTCCTGGTTTGATAACTCCTTTATGACTTCGAGACCGCTGTCTCAGCAGGCTTCCTATAGCTCTCAACTGTCTTCTACTCAGAGGTGTTGACCAGTGGCCTTATCAACCCACAGCATATGTTCCCTTTGTTACCAGTGTCACCAGCAAATAGTATGGGGGAGAGTTAAAATTAAGAAAGTCAAAACTAAGGAGAAAACAAACAGAAGAAACAAATAAAACCCCCCTGTCTCAAGGCAAAAGAAAAGCAGTAATATACATTGGTGTGCTACGCCATAGGGTTACAAATGTTTTTATAATTGTCATGACTATCAAATATTTGCTGAACTTCAGAGGAATGATCTGATCATTGTTTTTGGAATAAGAAGATTGGAAGGAGATTTCTTCACAGTCTGGCTATTTTCCTAAATCAGTTGCTCTCAAGGTGTTGTCAATTTGCAGAACAGTTTGGCTTGCTTCCTCTCTTTCTGCTTCCCCTCCCCCTCCACAAATTCTGCTGGTTTGGCCAATGAGCAGACTGAAAAATCTAAAACAAAGAGGTCTGGAAACCAGGGCAATTATTACAGCCAAAGCATAGAACAAAGGGAATTTGGACATGGCCTCTGTTGTCACTAGAGCTAACAGGGAAAAGTAAGCAGGAGGGGGACACGGCCAGTTTGACCGTCTCTGTTTAGAGTCTGCAGAGATGACATCGGGTCTCTGGTGTGCAGCAGGCCCACGGAGGAACTTGCTAATGGTATGTGGTTACCTAATACCACTTTTTTTTCATCTTTTGGACAATAAATTAAATTTCCTGAAACCCAGAGATAAAATTATACAATACTAAGGTAAAATGATGATGAATAAGTAAACAGTGTGTGGCACAGGATAAACTTTGAATGGACATCCAGGTGGCAGAGGATGTTCTTGGGTGGTTGGCAAGATCTCTTGTAAGAGAAGATGAGTTGTACAAAGGCCTGGTCTTTGCTAGGAGACGCAGACTCTGCTGAAACTCCATGATTGGAGCAGAAGAAACCAAAGGAAAATTGAAACCTCTCTGAGACTGAAGGCAAAAATGGAATAAGCACAATCAGTTATAGAAACAATTCCCAAATCTCCAATATGTAGCACTAGAGGATTTCTTCTGACTTTGGATATTTTGTTTTACAGTATGTTGTTTTCTTAAGTTTTAGGCTTAGAAAAATAAATGCTGGTTAGACATTTTATGAAAAATGACTCAGGAACGAAACATTCATTCCTCTGCTTATTAATTTAATGCATATCAAGTGAGATCTTACTATGTAACGGCACTATGCTAGGCAATGGGGCGTAGAAAATCACGAGGTCCAAAGCTCTTGGGGTGCACACAGGCTAGTTGTGGAGAGAGATGAATTGTCCAATCTTGCTTTTGCCCCACACCAAGTGCTATTATATGGTACTACATCTTTCTAACAATTTGATCTAGCTAATGAAGTTTAATAGGGTTTGAGGACAAATAAAAGATGTGGCATATGATAGACAAACAGGACTATTTCTAAAAAGAGATAGATACTGAGTACATAAATAGATCCAGTAATGTAAATTTATGAGGTCTATATTATCCTATGCAGGATAATATATAAGATACTTTATATTATATTCTGCATAAGATAAATCTGTGAGAGAAAGATCCACAGTGGATTGCTAAGTTTTGGCTAGGCACGTGTGTTTTTAGCTATTAATTTTGGGGAGTCATAACCTCTCCCTTTAATTTCACCACCAAAATGATTGTTGTTGTGGAAGACCCCTGGATGGACCATGGGTGTGTTCATATGTGGCATGTTGTACATTGTGTTTTTAAGCTACAGAAGGTATCTCTGATGGCAGTGTAGCAGATGGAAACCTTTGTGGGCCATGCCTGGCACTCTCCGTATTTACCTCTTAGTAATGGAACCAGAAGACAAAAGTTATAACAGAGATTTTAGTCTAATATCAGAAAGAACATTTTAACATATCTATCAAGAAGCTGAATATTTTTCTAGTAAAGTACACCAATAGAGGCTGGATAGCGATCCAAGATGGTCTCATAAAAGGCAGAGATGACATCCAAGATCCTTCCCAAAATGCAAACCCGTGATTTCATAATTCAGTCTTTTAGTTGGATTTTAACATTTCCTAAGTAGTTAAATACTCATTATGCTATATAGAGTTGGATGTTCAAATAAAATTATAAATGCCTTTGGCACAACCATTTTTCCTCTTACAGAAATGAAACTGCTATGGTTTGAATGTGTCTCCCAAAGTTCAGGTGTTGGAAATTTAATCCCAATGCAATAACATTGAAAGATGGGACCTTTAAGAGGTGATTAGGTCATGAGGGTACCATGCTTATGAATAGATTGATGCTATTATTTCAGAGAATTAACTAATTATCATGGGAATAGTTTCCTGATAAAGGGTGAGTTCAGCCACCTTCCCTCTTGCTTCTGCCCTCTCTTGCCCTTTTGCCTTCTACTATGGACTGCCATAGCACAAGGGCACTTGCCAGGTTCCAGTCCCATAGTCTTGGACCTCCAAGTCTCCAGTACTGTGGGCCAAATACACTTTTATTGTTTATAAATTGCCTGGTCTAAAGTATTCTGTAATAGCAGCACAAAATGGACCAAGACAGAATATAAAGTTCATTTTCTATTTATTCAATAAATAAAATACTGGCCATATATTAGTGTATTATTGAAGCTTCATAGTCTTCTAGCACCTTATTATGAACTAAGAAGGGAATGTTCTTTGTCCTTGAGCTTGTCCTCATCATTGGTACATGTTCCTGGGAAGAATGGAATAGGAGGTGGAACAATAAAGACCCTGCCATTTGCAGTGAGCCTCCTGTGCCATTAAAAGGAATCCTAAGATGTTCTGGTGGATGGCCAACATTCCAAAACAAAGCAGTAAGACCTAAGCCTGGCTTATCTCTTTTTTCTATCCACCAAGGCTCAGCATGGCTTTATCTGCCTAACCCCTTATTATTCTGAACTCCCTAATTGTCTGGGCTCTTCTCTCCACAAATAGTCTCATGTACTGTATTCAGCATTAACTTAGAGTGACTATGTGGAGATGTCTTCTATTCCTACTTCTAACAGATTAACAGCTAATAAACACCATGCACCACTCTCTTCTCTGAACCTCTTCTTAAAATACAGAGTTTGGTGTGCCAACATTGGCATATTTAAAGCCTCCAAGATTCCAGGGAAGACTTTAGAAAGATAACTGTGGAGAAAGGCCTGTTCAGAGAGAAAAATTTCGTAACACAAAGAGTCAATCGGTATATCAGCAGCTCATCTGAGAAGAACCTCAGGGGATCTTCTACTCATTTATAAGAAAAGAATATTTGTTATTGAAAATAAAACTTTTTACTTTATTCTTGGTATGTAAGGCTGAAGAGAATGCTGGAAATGTATTACCCAAGGAATGGGACAAGCAGCATAAATTTCATGGCAAAAGGGCAAGTTTGTTTTAGGAAGGGACACCAAACCACCATTCAGTGACTTTGTGAGGAAAAGACTTAAGCCACCTGCTTCTTCCCTCCTCCTCCCACCTTCCCCATGGTTCCTACTTCCACTCCCTCCACTCAGAAGTGAAGTAGCTGGTTTTGAAGCAAAGTCAATAATCAAGTTGTGTTTAAAGCTTTAAAGAAAGATCCAACTGGCACCTTGTTTTGAGGATATGGAATATCGGCTAGAATGCACCAGAGATCACCTGAGTGATTATGTGAAAGCAATATATCTCAGCACCTCATATATATGGCACAGATGTAATTAGTTGAAGTGTAAAGCAGACAGTGTGCACACGGTCCAATTTATGGAATTTCCAATTCCAATGAACCAGAAGGCTTAAGGGAATGTGCTTGTAAAATATTGGATATTTCCTGAAGTCTAACAGCTCGTGACTTTCAATGACCAGCTTGATTATTAGGTTGCAAAAATACAGATGAATATTTGGAGGAATATATTGTTCTTTTTCCAAAGATACAATTTCTAAGACCAAGCCTTTCCTGTGCCTTCAGGTAGCTGTTTCTTATTCAGTAGAAACCCAAGTGTATTTGATTGCTTACTTCTCCTTTTATTTCTGTTGGCCTTCTCATCTCTGTTGACTTAAGAAGCATTTAAAGCCACTGACTCGTCACATCTCTGAGGTGTGGAGTGGCTGCTGGGACAGGCTGTGTCAGTGCCCTGTGGTAATGATTGTGACATTGTCCTGTGCTAGAGAAACAGTCAGTACCCCTCTGTTTGGTTGTGCTCATGGTATTAGTGGCCTTGACCTTCGAGGCACAATGTGCCCTTTTCATGCAGACCCAACCATCTTTGAAGAAAGGTCAGCATGAAATTCCATCATATCTTTAGATTTGCTTGCAGATACTCCAAATTGTGTGAGTTTGCTCTTCCTCCCACAATCCAGCATCATCTGTGCTTTTCTAGACTGACTCTGATGGTGACATCTCTCAGTTTATGTTTATGCCACTTGTTAGACAAACCACCTCTGGATCTTTACAAAGTGCATTTCTTGGGATTATTTACAACTTTCTTCTTTGCTGGCTTTTCTTTCTCCAGAACCGGACTTGAAGCCATCATGGAGACTTATGCGTTCTGGAGACCTCCTGTGCGCACACTTACCTTTGAAGACTTCACCACCATGCAAAAGCAGCAAGGTAAGGCCCCGGGGCAAGGCCTCTGCTTCATGGCAGGACTGAGGAGGGAGGGAGGGCTAAACTGAATATAGCACATCTGGCCCCTGGCCAAGATATGGGTTATACCAATTCTCCTGGAATGAAGATAACTTCAAGCTCCATAAATAACTAAAGCATCAACACTTGAGCAAACAAGCTGGTTCCAGAAGCAGCCTTTCATCTGATGCTCAGAATTCTCTCTTGCTTCCTAAGAGCATGACTATATATTCATAATGATGATGGTGATGAAATTATTATTACTAAGCATTCTCATAGACTTTGCTATTTGAAGAGATCTTCATAATAGTTTGGGCATTTTTCACGGCAGCCTTATATATTTTTTCATTCTAGTTTTGTAGATAAGGAAAAACTTAGCTCCCGACTATGAGAATAAATTACATCAGGGCTCATGGTGAGAGGTGGATGGCTGCAAGCTCATCTGAACCTTGCAAGTGTGGTTCTCTCCTTGTTGGCTTATCTGAAACAACAACTCTATCAGGTCAACATGCTCAGTGCCTTCCCCCCTGCTGCTTTGTGCTTTTTTTTTTTTTTTTAATCCAGTTTCTAATTTCCTTTCCCTGGTAGCACAGGTTGGGAACCTGTGGCCAGGTGTGTGCAGATGGTCTGTAGGCTGGTTCACCCCTTGTCTCAGTCTAATCAGTGGTGTCCCCTGGTGCAGCTCCCATCCTCCTGAGTCCCTGAGGGAAATCTTCCCAGAGAGTCAGATATATATGGGTCTCCTTCAACTCCCCCTGCCTAAATGTGGCATCAATTGACACTTATAGACAGATCATTTTGTTCCATCAAATGGCTGCCATTAACATCATAGAAACTTAATTTTTGAATTTGTGGTTCTGTCATTTGAAAGTCTATTTTTAGGACTTGATAATATATTACATGCCTTCTCAGGGGAACATCTAGCACTTTGTACACTGAATTAGGTTAATAACCTAAATTGCTGAAATGTGAAGTCTTAAGATGAATGTAGTGATTAAAAGCATAGACTCTGGAGTTAGATGGCCTGTGTGAGGCTCTGCTCACTGTTCTTTTGTTTTTTTTTTTTTTTTTATTGAATGGTAACTGTGTACATTGATGCACTTTGCGGGTACAGTGTGGTGTTTTCATACATAATCCAAGACACTTCCATCAAACTGGTTAACATAGCCTTCATGTAACTTTCTTAGTTAT